TAGTTAGTGCACGGTCTCTTCGTGCCCCTACTATATCCCTCCTCCTCCGTTCAATCATCATTCTTTCCTCAACACATTATTACAACACAACTATACTTCGTAACTGGAGTAGTCTACAATGTAATACTCTTATACTAATAGATATTAATCTACCCTCCTACTAATTATAATAACAATGGTAATGATATATAATAATGAAAACTGTTGACTGATGTATGAAAACAAACCGTGTATATATACCCATTACATCACAGCCAGTGGCAATTCTTCTTGCTTCTCTCTTCTCTTCCCTATCCTTCCGCCGCTAATTCCTCTGTATTTATCTTTATCCAAAATATTATCCATCATTATGGAACTTGCGGCTTCCTTTCAGCCTTTCTGTGCTTTCTTCAGCTCCCACCAATTTTTTTCGGCCACCACCACCGTCATCATCTTCTTTATTTCCTCCCTCTTGTCTCTCACGCATTCGTTAATTGTCAGACTCAATGTTTTCTGTAGCTGCGAAACTTGCCAGTCTTATCTCACTTCAAGCTGGTCCAAAAACTTCCCTAACCTTTGCGATTGGTTTGCTCACCTTCTTCGAAACTCCCCTACTAAAACCGTCCACATCCATGTCCTTGGGAACACGATCACATCGAACCCAGAAAACGTCGAGTACATGCTCAAGACAAATTTTGATAATTTCCCGAAAGGGAAAACTTTCGCCATGATCCTCGGCGATTTCCTGGGTCGAGGTATTTTCAACGTGGACGGCGAACCGTGGAGGTTTCAGAAAAAGATGGCCAGCTTGGAGCTTAACAAGTACTCCGTAAGATCCTTCGCTTTTGAGATTGTCAACTGTGAAATCCAACATCGCCTTATCCCACTTCTGCTATCAAAGCAAGGCAGCGTTTTGGATTTGCAAGATGTTTTCAGAAGATTCTCGTTCGACTGCATCTGCCGGTTCTCTTTTGGGTTGGACCCTAAGTGCCTAGAGTTGTCACTTCCCATGTCGGAGTTCGCCGATTCCTTTGACCTGGCTTCCAGATTATCAGCAGAGAGAGCGATGACAGTGTCCCCTCTCGTATGGAAGATCAAAAGGATGCTCAATCTAGGCAGCGAGAAGAGACTCAAAAAAGCAATCAGAATGATTAATCTGTTGGCTAAAGAGGTGATAGGGCAAAAGCGAAAAATCGGGTTTTCCGCTCACAAAGATTTGTTATCACAGTTCATGACCACCGTAAACGACGACACGTACTTGAGGGATATTGTGATAAGCTTCCTATTGGCTGGTCGTGACACGGTGGCTTCAGCACTGACCAGCTTCTTCTGGCTATTGGCCCAACACCCAGAAGTCGAATCAGCGATTCGGGACGAAGCAGACAAAGTAATCGGACCCGAAAAAGAGCTCACCAACTTTGAACAGTTGCGGCAAATGCACTATTTACAAGCAGCAGTGTATGAAAACATGAGGCTGTACCCTCCAATCCAATTCGATTCTAAGTTCTGCTTAAACGACGATGTGCTGCCCGACGGGACATCCGTGAAGAGTGGAACTAGGGTTACTTACCACCCATATGCCATGGGTCGGTCGGAGGAAATTTGGGGTCCAGATTGCTTTGAATTCAAACCCGAAAGGTGGTTGAGGGACGGGCAGTTTTACCCGGCAAATCCATTCAAGTACCCAGTTTTTCAAGCCGGCCTGAGGACGTGTTTGGGAAAAGAAATGGCTATGGTGGAGCTCAAAAGCGTGGCACTTTCGTTGGTTCGACGATTTCAGATCGAATTGGTGGCGCCCAGTCGCAGCCCCAGATTCTCTCCGGGACTGACGGCCACTTTCAGATGCGGGCTTCCCGTACTGGTACGTGAAATTGAGCATCATAGTTCATAGCACTTTGATGATTAATTTAATTGCATAATATGGTCCATATTCTCCATAGTTGATGAGATTGTTTGAACTCTGAAGAGTGTGCTACAAAACAATAGTACTAGCTAGCTTGATATATGGTCCATGTAGCATAATTTGCTGGGTAGCTAGGAGCGTCCCATGAATCAAACAAAATACTACCAAAGAAAACGCCATTGTTTTTCGTGCACCATGTGGGGTGTATTTGATGACTGATGACGAGGGGAAAGTGACCGGGGGGGATTGCAGTGGCCTCCACTGGACCCTTGCAACAGAAGCAGAATGTCTCGTTGTCGGCGGAATCTCTTGATTATTCTAAATTAATGGACTACAAACGTTGTTGGAGCTCTCTGTAGCTGTTGTTTTTTGACTGTGCATGTGCATAATCATCCTCCTTGGGTTCAACACAGTTTTTATATAGTGCGCCACAGCAGCTAATAGACATGCTTGTGCTGTATTCGTAGATCTCAATTAAGAGAGATCGAGTGCCTCGCAAAGAAACTTGTATATATATGGTTGACGTGCATAATATATATTGTACAGATTATATTTATATATGTGCTTGTTGTATATATGTATGTTAAGAGTAATTTTCGCCCGTGTGTGTGTGTGTGAGAGAGAGAGAGAGAGAGGTTTATATGGTAGCTTCAGTGATTGAAATAATGGAAGGCCAGCCAAGGGTATTGAGACTTCCTACTGACGAGTGGTTTCGATCTAACATTTTAGTTCCTGTTTTTCTCGGATCAAATTCTTTACTTTGGTCGTCACTTTGTTGATTACTGTTGCGGATTTTATGCTATTTTGCTTTTGTGCTTTTCAAGTGATAAGGCTTCGTTCGGGGACAGAAGTCTAATTACTTTGACACAAATTATTTTATAAACAAATTCCTTTGACTGGGGTCATTTAGCAATTTACAGACGTGGCCGCTCCGAATTTGACCCATGAGTTCCAGCAAACACGAAACGGACTTGCATGCTAGCTTAGCTAGCCTCGTCCTGCCAACCAGGTAATCATCCCAGTTAACATGCGACAAGTGATGATATGACAGGGAAGAAGAAAAAATGCGAGTACAAAACAATAATACTACCTGCGGTCATAAATATAAAACTCTAATTTATTTTATTTTTAAAATTTTTAATATATATCTCTATTAATTGTAATATATTTTTACCAGTATTACTTTAATATATATGATTGAATAAGAATAATTTAAAAAAGCTAACAAACATTTGTTATAAAATTCCTAACTTAACTAATTTTTTTAATCTCCTATATTAATTATTTAACTTTTATATTAAGAACCGGAGATGGTATCAAATATTAATTTTGTTGTAATGGAGAATGGCTAATATTTGAGGTTGAAAATATTGGATTATATTCGTTGCGCGGTCTCCAAATATACTACTAGTACTTACCAGTCATGCGAATGAATGGGTATATAAGCACGTGTTTTTGCGCGCGCGTGTTTCTTGTATGACCAAACTCAGTATGCGCGTGCGTGTTAGAAAAATTTCAACAGAAATGAACTCAGATTCACTCCTCCGGACGTGATCTTAGTGTTAGAACCATTGAGACTGGCTAGGAAACAAAAGTGTCCTTTAATTGCGCTTCCCATAAACAATGCAAATAGCGCGCGTGCGTGAGGGATATAGTTTATATAATTACTTTCCAGTACATCGTTGATCAATTTACAGACTTGGTGAATCAGATATTGAGCGACTTGTTCTCTTACCTGCTCCTATTGAAAAAGGGATCGTGCAAATTAAATTCGTGTGTGAGAGAGGAGCGATAGGAGCGCATGCGTCACGTGCGTTTAGGTATACTGGTTTCCCTGGTCAGCTGTTACCACCCAATCCGACACGTGCATCCCATGGATTTCATTTAACAAGACAGGAGGATGACATTTAATGCTCGAAATTATAAATTTAAGCAAAATTTAGATATCCCGTGTGCGTATCAATGCACGTTGCACCGGGTCTACCTTTGTTATGTGGCACTCTTATTTTTTCCCTCCACGTGAAGTTGGGTGAAGTTTCAGTCTTAAATATAAAAACTGGTTAACTAATTTAAATAGATTCAAAAAATAAGTTAAATTTAGTTATTTATAATAAATATGTGTTATCTTTCTTAAAATATAGTTACTAATCAAGTTTATTGATTAGACTAAAATAAAAATCAAACAAAATCTTATATTAATTAATGATTAGAGGTAATATTATTAAGCTATAACAAATTCTTGTTATTCGTAACAGGACCCGTGTGTTGGCCATAGCCGATGAAAAAGGGGAACAAGAACATGTTCTTACCATTTTTAATGTGATTCGTACGCAGGGCATATCCCCTAGAAAATATTATAGCTGCCGGCATATGTCCTTTACTTACAGCCCACAAGGCATTGTGTTTTGCCCCACGTGACCTGCACCTGCATTAATTTTTTTTGTTTTTTGGTTATATTCTATACACGTACGTATTTGCGGGACGAATCCGGTCTGAACTCTGAAGCACCAAGTCCAATTCAATCCCATGCTTCCACGTCTTTTTCTTTATCCCAAAAATAAGACCACACCACAGCTCTTAAATTATCATATTTGTTTCAAATTTTTTGTCTTTTGAGCTACCTATACCTATAACGATTAAAAATACATAACACAAGCATAGGTTGTAATAAATTTTGATTTGCTGTTATTTGACAAAAATGTTCTTACTTAATGAAGCAAGTAACTGTACTTGAAATGCTTTGACTTATGATTGTTATTTTTATTGAAGAGTAAAATTATACAAAATATTCAAAACTCGTTGAAATTCTTAAATAGAAGTTATTTTCAAAATAAACTGAAACCATAAAATGGCCATACGTTCGAAAACAGAGTATGCCGACACATAGTTTAAATAATTCTAACAACCAGTACAAAAATATTTAATTAGATCGTGCAATTCGTTTTATTTTTTAAATAATAAATGTGCATGTTGCTTTACCATCACGATATACAATAATACATAAAATAAGAAACCCCTGTCACGTCTGTTTGTCTGGCCTATTATTAAACTCTCAGTACTCTGAACGATTATTCCAGCAGAAATCATTCTTGGAAATCGTGTTAACACATGAATGAATATCTTAATTAAATGAAAAATTATTGATCTATTCAATAGTTTAGTTTCATATAAAATCTACTGTTTCTTATTATCACCCTTTGTCCCCTTTCCTTTTCCCCAAACCATCACCCTCTGTCCTTTGAAGTATGCACGGGAGTGTATTTATATGAAACTAAACTATAGTTTGAAAAATAGATTTATGAGAGAATAGATTTGAGAAGAATAGATTTTGTGAAAAAGTAATTCTGATAAGTGAGAGTGTTTGGATAGTTATTATTATAAGTACTTTTTATATATACAAATTATTAAAACGGATATAAATTAATATGATAATTACATAAAAGATATATTTTATAATATATTTTAATTCAAAAGAATAAAATTGTTAATAATATATTTTTTACTGACAAGATTAATAATATACAAGATAATGTAATTAATAAATAATTAATATGTGTATATGTATTTATAAATTATAAGATTAAATATGTCTATAAAAAATTAACTGAAAGGTGTTAAAATCATATTACCGTTGGGATCTACTCTAATAGACACAATCACATTTTCCAATTTGAACTAGAAGCAAAATAGATTCTTTTTTTTTTTTGAAACCATGGTTTTAAGTCCAAAACCGTGGTTTGCTGATTTCCCTCCTGTTTGGCAAATTTTTACCCAAACCATAGTTTTGACCATTTGCCAAACACGCCCTTGTTCAAATTCCCAGCGCATGGATCGGATGCTTTGCTTTGCAGGCAAGTTTTTTTTTTTTTCCCCTGGGACCTAGCACAGGCAAGTAATAATATGCTTTCCATTGTTCATTAAGTACAGTGGTTCGTTAATTAATTATGAACAAATATTAAGTGCCTTCGCGTTATTTGAATATTTGGCATATCTGTTTAGGTTGATCGGGGAGTCACCAGACTTTTTATTTTAGAAAAAAATAACTTTTTGTTTTCTATAATTTTGACTCAATTATAATTTAATTTTTATAATTTGATTTGATGTAATTTAGTTCTTATAGTTTTAACTTTATTGTAACTCAGTTCTTGAATTCTGACTCGCTGCAACTTGGTGTTTATAGTTTTAATTATTATATAATTAGTCTCTATCTTTATTGGACATATAATTTCATTTTTTTAAAACAAAAGGACTGGAATATAAAATGGTTAAATTTTGTAGGGACTGGGATGAAGCGAAGCAAAGTTCAAAAACTAATTTACAGCCAAATTAAAACTAGAAACATGGGGTTAAAATGCAGCAACCATTACAAATGAGTTAAATTCCCTTTAATGTATTTTGATTTGGGATATTTGAGTGAGGACTTTTGTCAGGTTGTGGGTGGGACAATATATTAGTAAATTATTTTTTATTTTATACAAACGTGGCGATTTGGAGTTTTGGGCTGAAACTGAAGGACACGCGACGACGTCGTCAACGTGGAGCTGACAGCATAAATAGTTTTGGGGCGTCAACTTGAGGTGTTATCTTCTGCAACAATGGTATCCTTCGAGTTGTCAACTTCTGCAATGTAACCCCTTAAACAGTAGACAGTTACACTGATCACTAATATCAGAATTTAAAACAAGTTTGCATGATACATGGTAAGCCTTGGTGGGAAAATGTTTGATCTAAGATATACTATCTCCAAAGCATTCATAAATTAGTAATTAATAAGCTGTTGGTTGAGATGATAAGCAGTTTATTTTTTAAAAAGAAAACATAAATTTGAATTTCAGAAAACATATTTATTCGAAAGACTTTAATTTTAATGTTTCTGGCATAATATAAATTAGTTTTAAGTTTAAAATGACTTGAAAATATATTGAATTATACCAAAAAAAAGTAATTAGCATCATAAAATATAATAATCTAAAGTAGCTGGCATGCCCGCTTTTTTCCCTTTTCACCTAAACATGATACATCATACATCGTTATTTTAGGGTGTCACATGGCTTTTTGATTGCGTGTTTGTTACGAGTAAAAATATATTGTCAGTCCTATTAATGATTAACTAGTAGCAATGCCCCGATTAATATGTCTCTGTTCTCACGTGTTATAGAAGCATTTGTCGTTAAAAAGAAAAATTCCTTCTATTTTGTAGCTAGCATAATACTACTTTCAGCTCTTAATACTACTTCGGTCCTTAATTTAAAGACTCATTTAACTAATTTGATTAAATTAAGAAAGTTAGGTAAGTTAGTTAATTATAAGAAATACGACACGTTTTTCCTAAAATACCATAATCATTTTTCTTAATACTCCTTCTTCCTCTTCTATTTGATTATGGTTGACAGAGTATCCATAGGGATAATTTAAAGAAAATTGATAAATATAAGAAATGAGTTTTATATTTATGATCAAAATCAACTCAACAGTTGGGTCTTGTAAAGAACCGGAAGAGTATAAGACATCATTTGATTTTTATTTAATTTTAAATATAAGACCTCAATCTGTTTTATTTTTCATATTTATACATTTTTCTCTCAAGATAGTCCTTATAATAATAGTAGTTCTAACTAATACACTGAATTAGCAAAATATTTTAAGAAATACAGTATCTATTTATTATAAATAACTAATTTAACTTTTTTTTAATCTTCTCAAATTAATCAACTAACTTTTATATTAGGACAAGAGATAGTATGCACCAATAATTCTCGGCAACATTGTTAGTTGACGCTTGACAGTCAGATAGCGTAGGCCAATGGTGTTTTTTTGTTTATTAAAAAACCGGCAAGCCGAACACCGTCTATCTAATAATTTTAGGGTGTTGTTTGATTTCACAAAAATACTATAAGGATAAAAATAAACTTCAGCTTAAATATTTTTTTTTTGCCTGTGCATGCCAGATGCAAGTCAAATTTCTTTCCCTTTTGGAGTTGATAGTCAACTTATTACCTATTAACTTAGGAGGAACCTGCAACATTTTAATACCTAAGAGATATAACCATTCCAACCACACTATAATAGAATAATCGATGCTCATGTATATTTAAATAAGAGGAATATCTTTTATTCCCTCTTCTTTTACCATACTTCCTTTAAACTAATAAAATAAAATATAACCTGTCTCTGTGCGCGCGTGTGTTGAAGTTGCGCTACATATTATATTTCTAAACTATAATAGCACCTAGAGTGTTGTTTTTCTTGCCAAAACTTTGCTTCACCTGACTGCATCAAAATTGTTGAATTGACCCTAATAAAAAAATACACGTACGTAAAAAACAAAAAAATCATTTGAATCAATTTCTATAGTATACTTTCCTATTTTTCATCTATATTATCTAAATCATATTTTTCATAAACTGATAGTTATAAAATAATTATTATCCCGTATTTCGCTTTATTCGGGGCAAAACATATCAAATAAAATCTAAGATCTAAACTCAGCACCAAACTTCTTTGTATCCTCTTGTCGCTTGCAACTGGGCTTATTGCAGGTTGGGCTTTTAAGAGTATCAGCCACTGTATTATGAACCCAACACTTTTTTCGGGACCTCTATTCCAAGTCCATTAGGATACAACCTGAAATGATCTGGCCCGTTAGCGAAAAAAAAGGTCAAGAAATGATCTGGCCCAGTTAGCCCCCCTTCCAGTGGCCTGGGTCAGTCTCCTCTAAAGGCCGTTTACGAGAGAAAATAAGAAGAGAAAATGGGAGAGGAAATTTTTTTTAATAAACTCAATTTTTAAAAAATTAAAAAAAAAGACTAAAAACTTTTGATTGGTTTTTATTTTTTTTTAAATTTTTTAAATAAAACCTATTAAATTTTTTCTTTCTCCCGTCTTCTCGTTACCATCTCGCTCTGTGCTTTCCACCTCCTTCGATGAAGATGATCCTTGTGCGACGGCAACTCCAGCAACCACTGACGGTGATCTCCATCGTCTTCCTCAGCTTGGTTCGTCTTCTTCCCCTTCCTCTCTTGTCCTTTTCCACTTCCTTGTCTCCTCCATTTTGCCCTAGATCTCCATTTTCGACGGCGGTGCTTCTGGTCTTCAATTTCTTATTTGTAGTCCTGCCATTTTTTTAGATTGGTTCGCCTTTTGGTTTCTGGAATGGGATTGTTGTTTCTTCTCTTTGATCTTCACTCTTGAGTACTCCTCTTGCCAGAATATGAGAACCCAGAACCTGAAAAGTTCATCTTGGCTTTTCCGTGGGCCTCACAGTCGGACCGTTGTTGGTAATGAAATTACCAGGGAGAAGGAAGAGCTTTATGGCATTTACAAATGCAAGTGACGGTCATCATTTGAAGTCAGTGGCATTGATGTTTATAAACCCAGGAATTGACAACATTGAGGACTGAGGAGCCAGAGCAGTGCTGGGGTTTTCTTTTTTGGTTTTTTTTTAAAGTTAGCTTAGTATTTAGACAGTTAAAATATATATTTTAATTAAAAAATATATGTGATTTCTAAAATCTCGTTTTTATATCCATTTCCGTATTTATATTTATTTTTGTTTCCGTCAAAATTAATTTGGGCCCAATTTCACCCTCTTCTACAGTTCTACGCAACCAAGTCTTCTTCTTTGCTTGCATCTCCCTCGTTGATTCTTCTGCGCTTGTATTGACGCATTCCGTTCCGCGGGTTAACGTCTTTTTGGAACTGGTTTAAACCCCTAAATTATTCAACTTTCAGTGGCTCTGTCCTAGTTTGGTTTCTGGGTATTTCTTTTGGCCCCCCATCGCTGCTCTTTCCATCCCTCTAGCCCACATCTCTTTGTTTCCTGGTGTAGGTTCCAACATTAAAATAGTTTGCCAAAAAGGGAAAAAAATTCTAATAATGATAGAGCCAAATGAGGAGCTTCCAGAGCCATCTCTTGCTCAACAATTTGGTTGCAAAAGGAAGAAGTCCTTGAAGAGGAAAGCCCAAAGAGCATTCAATAAGAAGGGTAACTCAGTTGATGCGCAGGCAGAGGATTCAGAAAAAATTCGTAATGAGAAGGGTAACTCAGTTGATGCGCAGACAGAGGATTCAGCAAGAATTCATAATGATAGATGTGACCCTAGGGTTAGCACGTCATTTTTTGATTATTCAGTGGATAATTTCTTCCAAGCCATGGGCATGATTGATGAGCTTTGTGGTGAAGAAGCGGATTCTTATTTGGAGCAGAGTGAGATGCAGAGACTTTCTGCCTCTGTCACTTTCTTGAGGTAAACCGTGTGTGTTTTAAATAGTTTGTTTTATTTGTTTACTTGTCTTGCAGAGTTGCAGTAGCTGTAATATTTTGTCTCTGAGCTTGAGACATAAATGTCGTAGTTGCTGGTTCATTTATCTCGTCTAGAGATTGTTATAATTGCTTTAGTTTTGTCATGTGTCCGTATTCCCAAATTCTGCATACTTGGTGCACGCGAACTCTAGTTATGCATTACTTTATCATTTCTTGACTTCCTGTAGGAAAGTTGTGAATGAGCTAACCAATATTAGTCCTCTCTCTTTTTAATATTAAATTCCTTCCTTGCCCCTTCTCTAGCTGCACCAAGATGTGGTGCAACCCGAGCTATGTTAAAAAAACAACTGTGCTATGGATCATATTTTCTAGCCTTCATCTTGTTTATGAATTTTTTCCTCCGCAGTTTCATACACACTGACAATTTAGAGCTCAGTCAGCTCAATTCCTGGAGCGTCTTCTAGCTGCATCTCTTACATTAGGGAAGCATGGGTTGCCTTAGTTCGTCTGAACCTTCTGCACAGTTACAGCTTGTTGCCCGCCCCCCCCCCCCCCAAAAAAAAAAAAGATAATAGTCACGCATTGCTTGCTAATTCTGGTTCTAAACTGATCGCAATTGCAACTTGATTGAATAAATGGATTACTTTTATCGAAGTACATCTCCTATTCAAAAAATAAAAAGAAGACTCTATTACGTCGTTTAAGAGAGGGATATGTATCATTTTACTTTCACCTGTATATGTGATGAAGAGATGCACCTCCTGTTATACACTTAATTGCTTTCATTTCTTGAAATGTTGATTTTGTTATTTCATAAAGAATGTGAAACATATATGAACAGAGAATGGAGACATTTTCACTATGAACCTAGAAGCATTAGGTTTGCTTGTGGATTTGGAAGCCCTGAGGCAAAAGATGCAATCAACTGTATAAACTTACCTCAATTTTCATCTGCTGCCATTCCTGAGGTACAAGCTAATCTTCATTGCCCTCCACTTTCCTTTTGATTTCCTGAGGATGATCTTAGCTACGTAAATTTCCTGATTTCAATTAGATTTCAACTTGTCTTCATTATAGCTGTAGTGTTGCAAATATTTATTAGCATCCTGTGTTTTTGTTTTACATGATATGCAGGAGGGGCTACACAGGGATGTCAAATCTCATGAATCAAGGTATGAATTAGATTTTGACCTTGTTGTTTAGTCACATTGCTATTCTGTTAGAGCATACACTTTCTTTAATTTTTAAATATATTATTCCATCCGGTTCAAAATTTAAGCATCAAATGACTAAATTAAATTAAAAAATTGGTTAAAAACAATAAAAATGTAAAATGTAACTTATTTTCCTAAAACGTCCTTATTAATGGAGAGGGTAGGTGGGAGAGAGGACGAGTGGAAAAGAGATGAAAGAGAATGAGTGGAGAAAGGAGATGTGGGAGACATATAATTAATTAGGGGTAAAAATGAAAAAAAATGTATTAAATGATCAGACAAATACAAATTGATGCTTTAAAAAAAAAAAAAATCCTTTCAAAGATTTTATGCTTATATTTTGAACTGGAAGGATTATCTTTTATCCAAGTAGTTAGTTACTCTATTATTCTGTTACCGGTCATCATTTCATTTAGCTTAACGCTTCTAGTCTTGTCGCTGTAGAGACTCTTTGTTGTATGTTGGGGGTTCTGTGTGGGCATTGGATTGGTGTCCACAGATTCATTTGAAGCCTGATAGTTCAGTAAAATGTGAGGTACATGCTTTCTATCTTTCTTTGCAGTCTTTTAAATCTTCCTTTAATTACTATGTGGTAAAGAAATACTCCAAGCTTTGGTCTTCTGATACAACTTATTGGGAAAGAAATACATGAAATTATGGACTTCTCCTTTTGCGAAACCTTATACCTGAGATCAATTTTTACGGATCTTTGTTTTAGTTTCTTGCTGTTGCTGCTCACCCACCTGGAGCTTCTTATCACAAGGTGGGTAGCCCACTCACCGGTAGAGGTCTTGTACAAATATGGTGCGTTTTAAATAGCAGCAAAAGCAACAAAGAAGTATGTCCTCCGTCAAAGAAGACTAAAAGAGGACCTAAAAACAAGGGAGCCACAAATGACAATTCAACGCAAATGAAGAGGCCAAGGGGAAGACCTAGAAAAAGTCCAATTAAAGTAGCAGGGACTGATATGAATTCTGAGACCCACTGTGCTCTAGCTCTTGTGCCGGATGGTCTTTGGGAGAATGTTCAAGAGGTATGTCCTCCTGCTGAAAAGAGCAAACAAGATCCTGCCAAGAGTGGAGTCACACACGACAAATTAACACAAGTAAAGAAGTGTAGGGGAAGACCTAGAAAGAAATCAAATAAAGCGGCAGTGAGTGATCTGAATTACGAGAACCAATGGGTGGAGGCTGTAGCTGTTCAATTTCCTGAAAGTTCTGCTGAATTTCGTTTTGTAGATGGAGTTTCTAGCAATTGTGAAGAACACAGTTTGCAACCCGACTCTGATGCAATGGACAAGTGTTCCAACAAATCTGTATCTGCATGCCCCCCTATGCTGGAAAAGCCCTTTAGAAGAAGTAGGTTGAGATCTAATTGTAGGGAAGGCAAGTTTAACCATGAACAAAGTCCCCTGCTGTTGCCACAGCATGAGGATGATGCAAACCGACCGACTTGTAGCTCTGAAACACATCTCGGTGGAGCTACTTGTCCTATTCCAGAATATGTTGCTTTGCCAAGAATTGTGTTATGCCTAGCACATAATGGGAAGGTAGCATGGGATGTGAAGTGGCGACCTTCTAATGCTTCTGATTCCATTTGCAAGCACAGAATGGGATATCTTGCTGTCTTGTTGGGCAATGGATCTCTTGAAGTGTACGATGTCTGCTTAAGATTTTGAAATGAAAGCCTATCACCTTTTTGTTTGGGTCTCATTGTACTGTTCATAGTGGTGTCCTTGATATCTTTTCAATTTATCTTCCTATCACTTGAATGAGCAATCCTTTTTTTTCATGTTCTTTGTACAGTTAGAAACTGTAAAAACCGTGATAATGTAGATCTGTTTGTACTGACTATCATTGCTAGATTTGTAACGTTTAATATTTGATTATGCCGAAGGAAATGTGGTTTCGAATAATAGATTTGTACTGTATTAAAAATTAAAAATTTCTGAGAAAATGTTGAATGAAACATAAGGGAGAATTAGTAAAAAGAGAGAATTGGAATATTTGGTTTCTAACATTAGTGTTATGCACTTATGCCTTCATTCTTGTCATTTAAATACAGGTGGGAGGTTCCTAGTCATTGTGCATTAAGAGCAATTTATAAGCATGAAGAGGCCACGGATCCACGGTTTATAAAATTGGAGCCTGTATTTAAATGTTCAATGTTGAGGCGTGGTGGCTTACAAAGGTTTGCTGTTAAACTGGCTCCTTGCTTTTCATTAGGGGATCATTTAACCAAAATTCTTGCGACCAACTCATGGATCAGCTGCACTTAAACTTCAGCTGAACTTAAACTCATTTTTGTTTGTTACAAACCAATAAAACAAGTTAAAGGTGAATAATTTATAAACACCTGGCTGATGAATAAAACATATCTTGTGATAGATGATACTTGAGCATTACTTGTTATTGAACTTTTATGATTAATTCATCAGTTTTTTAAATGATTTTTTGGCATTACATACGTGGTTAAATTTGCTCCATTGCTTTGTCTGACAGCATCCCATTGACTGTGGAATGGTCTGTTTCACCACCGCATGATTATTTGCTTGCTGGGTGCCACGATGGAACGGTATTATATATCCAACTTACATTAATTGTCTGCCCTTGAGTTATTTGTGCTTCTTCTTTTTGAATAGATGCCCATCTTTCCTAACATTTAGGAAATATATATGTCCTTGAAGGTTTATGTGATTGGGGAATAATAAGAAAACATCTGGAATTTTTCCTCCAAATAGTTATTTTGATTCTTCTCATCTTGCTGGAATATGTTTTCATTCAGCATCATCGATCAGTTAAGCATAAAGTAGATCTCCATTGTATTGTTACATTCAACGGTATATCACAACTATGTAATTTAATTATATCTAGGTTGCCTTATGGAAATTCTCAAGAAGCACTTCACTGAAATGTGACGGTAACATTCATACCCTTGATTCGTTTTGCTGTGATGAGTTCTGGTTGACAAGCAAGTTCATCAGATAAGCTTCATTGCTGATTGTTTTATGTTCATCTGCAGATACAAGGCCATTGCTTTGTTTCGCTGGGGATACAGTTCCTATTAGAGCAGTTGCATGGGCACCATTTGAAGGGTCAGTGATGATTGAAACTTCAAGACGTGTTAGTTAATTGCTCTCAATATATTCAACTGTTATTATCTCTTAGCTTTAGAGGATTTGAATGAAAAAAAGGTGTATTTTCAATTTAAAATAACCCTTAAATTCTTATAGAGCGTGAGCCTTTTTTCTACTTTTGATTCTTCTCTCTCCCCCTCTCTCCCTTTTCTTTCCACTTTACGATATGCTCCAGCTACAATCTAATCTCCAAGAATTTGCTCAAATACGTATTCTGAAATCTATGGGGAGCTTTATTTTCTCCTTTTGGTTTAAATTTCCTTAGACAGTAACAGTATCGTGTCTTATTCTGCATTCTATTAAAAATTTTTAAAAATATAGTTTGTTGAATTGAGGGGTCTCTTTGTGGGGATATCTTCTTATTGCTATGGATGGTCCAAAGCAAGCCTTCTATTTGTCCCCCTCTTTCCACATAAATAAGCCAATAGTCGACTATGCTGGCAAAAAGGCCAGATGTTAGAAAGAATCTATTTGTGTATTGTTTGTCCTTGTTCATATTTTACATTTCTAATGTTGAGAAGTTTTTTTGTTTAAAAAAAAAATTGTTATATCTTTTCAGTGATCCAGAGAGTTCAAATATAATATTAACTGCTGGGCATGAAGGCCTGAAGTTTTGGGATCTACGGTAAGTATGATTTCTTGAATTTATTGTTCTGTTTTGTTTTTTTACTTCACCAAAAGAATCTTGAAATAGTTTTATTGCATTATATCTTAGAATACTTTCTGTGCACTTAAATAAATAGTTTTTTTAATAGTGTTGAATTGTTTTTCAAATTTCCCCATTATATGTCATTCATCGCACTGAATGATGCTGCTAAAATAGGCCATACGATATGCATCAAAATGTAAAAGATAGCAGCGGCAGTATCCTATTGTTAGAAATGAAGAAAATTGAATTGCTTTGTAGAAATTATAGTCCTTTAACCTTTTCCATAACCTTGCGATTGAGTTTATTATGAATGAGATTGCCCAATAGAATTAGACGCAGAAGGCAACTGACTGGAACCAGAGCTGAAACTTTTCTGCTTCATATTTGTATGAACACACCAGAAATATACTGTAGGCATGATATGCAAGGAATAAGCTACAGGGCAATCAACCTTCCATATCACGGACTCTAAAGAAAGCAGTAACCAAACAGATGCAAAATGCACAAGAATAATGACAGACAATCTCATGCTTTTGGGAGACTCGAGTCTCCTGCGAAAAACGCTTCCAAAAATTGATTTTTAACACTCCATCAATGCTTTGGTTCTTCATAACCGCTTGGCCATCACAGCATCTCTCCTCCCCAACTCCCACGTCCTACCCTTTGTCCATTCGTTCTTTGTTCTTTCCTTGCTTCTCTGGGATCAAGTCCTTTGGGCTGAATTAGTGCTGGGGCTAGGCCAGCAAGCCCATGCCATGTTAATAGGTTGAAGTCAAATGGTTTCATTTCTTTATTTGCTTCCAGTATTATTATTCCATTTTGCATTCTAGTTCCTGTAGTTTACTTCTTTGGTTTAGTTAATTGGTTGGTTCTCCTGTGGCCTACCTCCTTTTATGCGCAGCATCTATTGTTTTGAAATAAACACAAATTTCCAAAGACATTATTTTCTGAAAATCTTCTCTATCAATGAAGTGGGAATTGCATAAATTTAAACCAGAAAAGCAGTGTTTTATCATATTGTTATATGTCCAAAGTGGTAAAGTATTTTTGCTGTTTCCTTGGGCATAAAAGGTTAAAGGACAAATGTTCATATTTCATCATTTCCATGAAATTCCCTTGGCCTTGGGGTTTGTTCAACTTGTTTATCGTGGTAATACCTATAGCACTCAAAACTTGTGCTGTTTGCAGTGATCCGTTTTATCCTTTGCGGAAGCTCCATCCTGTTCCAAGGATCATCTATAGTCTGGATTGGCTGTCAAACCCGAGGTAGTTTATATTTCTAACTGCATCAAATGCTATCCAGTCCTTTTATTATGGTAATCTCAGAATAATTTTGTTTATATATGCTTGTAGTTGCATTATCATGACTTTTGAAGATGGCACAATGAGAACCCTTAGCCTGGCCAAGGCTGCAAATGACCTACCCGTGAGTGGTAAAAGATTAAGTGGGAAAAAGCATCCTGGGTTGCATAGCTCCACTCGTTCATCCTTTGCTATTTGGAGTGTTCATGTATCAAGAATAACAGGTACTACATTTTACTACGCATTGTTTTTGTGACTTCATCAGTATTGCATCTCATGTGGAAGAATTTCAGTTTAGGGAAATATCGTGTATTGCGAAGTAATGCCCGCAACACTGAACGTCTAATAATTTCAGCTAAATTTTGCAAACATTAGCCTGTTCTTAAAGCTGAGTACTGCCATTGTATAATTGTAGGTATGGCTGCTTATTGCAGTGCAGATGGTTCTGCCGTCCGTTTTCAGGTAAGTTGAACATTATGCCAGAGAGTCCACCTGTGATCACCGCCATCGCTTCTTTTCATGATGTTGTGTGTGTGATTCATTCTCATTGGGTTAAGGTATATTCAGCATCAGAAGTATTTTCTCAAGTGCATCCAGGACTTGCGTCTGGTATTTTGAAGTATTTTTGCCTTGGTGCTTGATACACCAAAATATATTTTTGGATGCATCCTAAAAATATTTTGAGGTGCTGAATACACCAAAAAATACTTTATAGTATTGGACGCATCTAAAAAAATACTTTAAGGTGCTGGATATACCCAAGAAAATATTTTGGGATGCTGTATACACCTGAACCCTAAATTTTATATGAATTTATTATAATCAAACTACTCAATCTGACAAGGGAGTTGGTCTGCTGTGACTGGCTTCTCGTTCCTCGCTTTGTTGATTTTGGTATTTGTGGATATTTAGTTGGGGGGAAAAACTAGCTGCCTATCTTACGTAAATAGATAGCACTGAAGCTGCAATAACCATATTGAATATCGGCGCTTCTTGTATCTCATATCTGGCTCTTGCTTTTAGTCAGGATAAACTTAAATTTTACTCTATGCTTGGTAAATAAAAAAGGGAGGCTTGGTTATAGACTTGCAAGTAGCTTATATTTGTTTATTTTGCCAAAAATTTTACATGACTTTCAATAAATCGTCTGTAACTATATTTTGGCTGGAAGAAATATTATGATGGCAGTTGTTGGTGTGGAATAGGAGGGGAACCAAAATCAAATCTTTTTTTGGTCCCCCCTTCCCCCAAAAAAGGAGGGGGGGGGGGGACTTCATCTTTCTCTTCATCTGAGCTTTGCTTTCATGTATTCAGCTTACTGCTAAAGAAGTGGAGTCAGATCATGCCCGCAATCGAGTCCCCCACTTTCTTTGCGGGTCATTCTCGGAGGAGGGATCAACTCTCACTGTTAGCACTCCTGTTTCAAATGCCCCTTTCCCATTGAAGAAGTCTTTTGACAAGGGTCGGCATGCTGCATCATCTTTCCGGGGATTTTTATACGAGTCAAATGCAAATGGAAGTGCGAATAATCAGATGATGACACATTCTAATCTCGATTCTCAAGCTTTAGGTACGCCCCTGGCAAATTTTCGTTGCATACAAATATTGATTAGCTAGTATAGTTTCACTCTAATTATCTACGGGCTCTTAAATTTTGTCTCAGTACTTTATGATGGTGACAATTCGGGTTTGGAATTGGCTCTTGTGGAAGCACCGACTACTGCAGACAGACCCAAAAAACTAAAATCAAGTGGTGGCAATAAGAAAAAACCAGTAGATAGCCAAGCTTTAGTGTGTGTAGAAGATGAGAGTGGAGGTGGTCTAGGTGGTGACAACGAAATGAGCGGAGGGAGTGTGGCTGAAGCCTTTCCTCCCAAAATAGTAGCGGTGCATAGAGTGAGATGGAACATGAACAAGGGCAGTGAGAGATGGTTGTGCTATGGAGGAGCAGGGGGAGTTGTTCGCTGTCAGGAGATTGTTTTGTCTAATATTGATAAGAAATATGCCGCTAAGAGATGAGTATTTAGGGCATTTATATAAATTATGATTATATCCTTCATCATCTGTATATAGCTCTTTACATTCTGTGGTTAATTTGGTGCAGTGCATCTCCTGTCGTTAATTGAGAAATAATTTCTGTTACTTAATGGTGCGTATAATATGGCATGCCATCGAATTTTATCTGCCAGTGATTTTTTTCTTAAAAAAAAAAAACACAAGTGTAACCATCAGGGAATGGCAGCAAACTGTGGTGGAATTTTTTTTTGGGGGAAAAAAAACCATGAAGATACTTGGGAAAATCCCAAAAAAGGTCCTTGGAATATGGGAAATGTCAGATTGGGTCTTTAAATTTTGAAAATGACAGAATGGGTCATTGACCCAATCTGTCATTTGTGAAATTCAGGCGAATTGACAATTTTACCCTTATTTATTCATTCACTACAATGATTCAAGGAATCACTATAAGAGTTTAGGTGTTACTTAGATTCGTGTAGTGAATAACTACTCACTTTTTCATAGTCAGGTGTCTTGTTATTAACTACAGCTAATTTTGTAATCACTAGAACAATGTAAGCATTATCTAGATTTGTGTAGAGAATAACTACTCATTTTTCCATAATCAGGTATCTTATTATTGTCAGGTACCTTATTATTAACTACAACGAATCTTGTATTCACTAGAACAGCATAAGAGTTACCTAGATTTGTTTAGAGAATAACTACTCACTTTTGCTCAGGGGCAAAAATGTCAATTCGCCTGAATTTCACAAATGACAGATTGGATCAATGACCCATTCTATCATTTTCGAAATTTAAAGACCCAATCTGGGATTTAGTATATTCCAAGGGTTTTTTCTGGGATTTTTCCAAGATACTTAGGTTATTTTTTTAAAAAATATTAATTTCGTAGACACTTTGGTCTTTTCATACTGTATTGATGAAACGCAAGCTCCAACTTTGATGACCCTTTTTTGTGGGCCCCACACCACTAGCAGACGTTATCCCTCTTGTGATGGCACGGGATGCATTGCCAACTCGGGTGATGTTACAGTCCTCGGTTTAGAATACCGACTAACCATTAGTTCTATGTTTTATATTTCAAATATCACCTCTGAATCTTGATATGACATCTACAACTTATATTTTTTTTATTAAAGACAGAAGGCGGTATTAAATTGAGAGAATTTCATAAAAAGAATTTTGAAATTATTAAATTTAAAATAAAATTTTTTATAGAAGTGTGTTATTATTTGTAAGTATTTGTCAAATTCGTTTTATCTTTATGAATGGTGTGAATAGGACTTTTTATCTGTTCCCATGTCTGGAGAGGCTTGACTAGGCATAATTCGAAACTGGCTTTCCGTCCGCTCCCGTCCTTTATCCTCAAAAGTCAAAACTAAATCGTTTTGAGGTAAAATGGGGACGCAGGCATCCCCCCCCCCCCCCAAAAAAAAAAAAAGCATCTAATAGTTTAAAGTATTATTTTGACCGTATCTAATATCTTAAAATAATCTTTACTGCACTTAATGTAACAAGATATCTTTTTTTCAATGGAACTGTTAAACTATATTTTTAGTGCAGTTTTACTCTTAATATAAATATTTTTAAGTAGTAAAAAGTATCTTAAACTATTTAAGATACCGGGTACTGCTAAAAAATATTTCAGATTTTAAATGCATTAAAAAAATCACCTTTAGAATATTGGATGCTACTAAATAAGATTTTACAGTGCCAGTTGCTAAATACTGAGTGTTACTCAAAAATATTTTAAACTGTTAGATACAAGATATTAGATACCGGATAGTATTAGAAAAATATTTCAAAGAGTTCTGAGTGTACTATAAATTATTTTAACATGTTAGATATCACTGAAAAAAAAAATTGAGGCGGCTAGATAATCTTTGAAGGAAAGGGGAAAAAAAGGTGTTCAGCGTCCCCATTTTACCCCAAAACGATGTAGTTTTGGGGTAGAGGAGGGCAGCGTACCGTAAGAGAAAAGGAGGAGAGCCAGGTCCGCATATTTCTCATGGTTACGCCATGCCCTTCAAAACCATTCCGGCTCTCTGACTACCCAAAGCAACAAACAGTTGTCACCCAAAAACAAAAAAACAGCAAACGGTTAATATCTCCGACCGCTGCTGAGGAGGCAAAAAAAATGCGCGGTTGCTGTTTATTTGTTTTATTAGATTTTCCTGTGGATTTTAAAATTAAGAATTTTATATAATTTTAAAAAGAAAAATTTCAATGTGAATTACTCTGTTTTGAAAGAGTTTGTATTATGTTTAAAAATATTTAATAATAATAATGCAATGACTATTTATAGTTTTTATTTTAGAAAAATATGTGAACATTTTGTTTAATAGAAAAATTTGAAACGAACCCCATTTTTAATTTATTTGCTTATTAAATGTAATTATTGGGAAGCAGGCTTTCGTGTTTCAAACCCCATTCGCAGCTAGAAATGCAATCGTCACCATGTCTCAAAAGGGAGACACCACAAAAAGCAACTTTGTTTTTGTGAAAAACAGAAACAACTACACATGGCTTTAAGGCTTTTTGTGGCTCCTGTCCCTTCATTTTGAGTTTGGACCCGTGAGACCACCCACGCCCTGCTGACGCCGAGTGGTTCAACCTCTTCCGCCACCACGTCGACGCGCAATTCTCAACTGTAATTTTCCATAACACTATTTTGATTTGTGCAACCAGGCAACGTGTAGTGAATTTTACATCATCTCGGCCCTAGCCCAAATACATTAAGCACGAACAAAATTTTTCCTCCACCCACACGCCCCTGACTGGTTGGTGATCGATCACATTTAATACCTTGTTGAATTGCCGTTAGTGGAGGCAAGCGTGGATGGAGAAGATAACAACAACTAGACAAGGCTACAAAATAATTAAAAGCTGAGGTGACATGTAAGGATAGGTATCTGCTACATTTATAACAAAAGCACCTGCCACCAAAAGGCGGTAAACGTAAAGCATTTACGATGTGAGCAGCAGCATAAACGCCAAGGTCGTTTTAGTCTTTAGTGGTTCCACTGTTAGCAGTTCCATCATCGTTGTCTCTAGTGCTACGAGGCGTTGGACGAGGCGGTGGTGATAGAAGCGTCCCCATGCGCCTGTAAGATGAAGGGGTGGGTGGACATTTGGGAGAAAGGTTGAGCATCTCCAAGGCCTGAACCCTGAGCTCCGTAGGATAATCTGCAACACAACCAATCCTGGGTCCAGCTCCTGTTGTCCATTTGAGAGAAAGTTGGTGCCCCAATTGGTAGGATCTTGCAGCTTTCTTTGAATTGATTCTCTGCAATATAGCTTTCTCGGGCACTTCGGCTCTTGGGCTCTGAAGGCCCCCAGACAGAGTCCTTTGATAACCACCTCCTGGTTGCGGTCGATTCTCTTCCTTTCCTTCTTCAGTTTCCTCAGAAATTTCGTGCTCTCGTGTTTCAGCCGTGCTTGATGCTTCAGATGTTGCTCCTTCTATAAGCTTTCCATCCTCATACATATCTGAGTCTTCATTTGCTTTGTGTATCTGGAACCATGGATTAGACTAGTCAATATCAATAAGGAAAGTAAGTACGGAATAATGAAGTCAACTGCAGAGGCCATCCATGTCCTCGTCCTAATCAGAGGATTGCGTTCTACTACGACCAAGATTTGGTAATCTAAGAAACTAGGATTAAGCATTACGGAAAGAAAATGATCCTTATTCTAATCAATCACCTCAACTTCATCAAGGTTGACGCCTTTTTCCTCGAGATACGATTGGAGACTGTCAAGAGTGTCATCTGTTGGCCGGTAATGTCCACTATAAGGAGAGATGGACTGCGAAAGGGAAAGCCGTAGAGAATCAAAAGTTATGTTTCAGCACAATAAAGTGGGATCAGGATCATCGTACGGCTGGTTCGATTACAACACTAGTTTAATAGAACAAGATTATTCTACCTTAAGAATACCATGCTCAGCAACCAGCCTACCAGCAGCTAATGTAGCTCCTCCAGCTAGGAAACTGGAATGGTGGAATGATCCTTTCTTTTTCTGGAAGGATGTCGAAATGTGTTAGTGGTTCTGGAAAGACGTCTAAGGAAGAAAATAGGAAACTTGAAAACATGACTGAGCTTGAATCATTACCTCGCCTGCATAAAGTTTCTTAGAGGTGCTCATTACAAATATCCACTTGGCATTTTCAGAATCTTTTTTCGTATGAAGGAGATCTCCAGATGGACTGTGGACGATCTTGCCCTCCTCCACAATGTACTCATAGTGTTTTCTTTCTTGCTGAAGAAACCAGAAAAAGAAAAACTCAGGACAAACAATATAATCTATCAACACTTGTTTTTTTTTTTTTGGGGGGGGGGGGGTTCATTCTAAAGAATCACATACAGGTCCAAGGTACTTAATGCATTGCTTTTGAAGCTTTGAACGGGGACAGTCCGGGTGATCAAAATTCTTCCCTCCTCCTATATCCAACCTGCAGAACGTTGACAAAACTTGAGCTTTTCAGTGGGCTCTCCCCATTCGCTCTAAGAAAAATTCAACACTAATTAAGTTGTCTCATCAAGCCTCAATCATCATCCGGGGCAAAAGAAAAGAAAACAGAGAAAAGGAATAGCAGTCTTTTGCTCGGGTAAACTAGTCTCACCAATAAAAGAATGGTTGACCAGCATCAGTTTTGCACCATTCCTCATAATACTTATGCAAGTTATGTCCATACCGATGGCGTGGATCAATCTACAATTAGAAGTACAATACCAATAGAAATAAGAGTCAGGGGTTTAAGCATCCCTGAAGAACATACTAATTCGGAAAAAAAAAACGGAGAAAGAGATGAAAAGCAGTACTTACAGCTTCAATCCAATGCTGAAAGGCCAACTTCTGTGCCTTAGCGTCTTTGGACAAACCCTTGCCCACCTGCCCAAACAGTCCAAAATCGATTTGAATCAAACTCAGATTGTTTTCTGATTGATCACAATCAAGCATATCGCCAAAAACGACCCTGCAAACAGCAACCACAACTACTAGACCAAAACCAAAGATCCCAGAGGAAGGATTCCAACCATACCTTGGCAGCATTCAATCTAACTCGACTCCACCGTGATACAGCAGTTTCAGGTGAATCGAAGAATGAAATCGTGCTTTGATTGAG